CCTGTAGTCCCGGAGTCCGCCCGGCTGGCGGCGGCCGCGGCTGCTGCTGGGCGCGGGGCCAGCGGGCTGCCCGCCCCGACTTCTACTGCAGCTCGCGTCCCGTCTCCTTCTCCCTGTCGCTGGTGCGTCCGGGACAGTGCGCACCGGTGGGAGCCGCCCACGGAAGTTTCAGTCCCTCGGGCTACGGGAGCGGAGGAGCGCGCGGCCGCCCCACGTTCGCCCTGCACGGCTGCAAACCAGCTCCGACTGCCGGGCTGCGCGCTGCGCTCCACTCTTAAGAGGGGCTGGCGGTTCCCCTGCGCGCATGCGTGCTGCGAGGGCTTCCCCCTCTGCTTCGGGACGCCAGGGGACACCCGCAGCCCTTCACTTTCCTACACCAAAGGTGTGGCGGTGGCCAGGAAGCGCTGCGAGTGAACTGAACAGACGTGTGGAAAACGCGATTTAAGTCGGCCACGCCTTGGAAGCACAATTAAAGCAAAGAGGGCAGAAGCAAAAGTTTGGTGCGAATCTTCAACATCCAACATTTCGAGTTACTCTGACAACCTTCCAAAGGATAATTACTAATTACTTTCCATGTTACAGACGACGCGGCCGTCACTCGGATAGACTTGTCTTGCTCAGCTTCCAGCCTCCCGGCTCACGAAGAACCACGAATACGGTCTAAGCTGCGTGCGTGGCCTCCTGGTGCCACTGCACGGAAGAGTGAAGAGGTCAGCGGGGACACCAATAGTATGGCCAGTCTAAATGGTCTATGTCACTTTATTTGCCTCCCCCATAGTTGGGTGTGGTGCTTGTCGAAGTCAGGCAGAAAGGTGCCCCCGTGAAACATGTGACCTCGGTGGCTTAGACAGCTGCAGCCAGGAAGGCAAGGATCCAGACACAAGAGACACTAAGAAGGAACTAACAGCTCCGCTCTTGCAGAACGGAACAGGTGCTGATGCTATTGAAGGAGCGATGAGTATTTTTAAAGGACCAACTGCGCCTTTCTCAGCCTGGAGTCAGTCCGTGGAAATTCTGGGCCCAGTCCCTGATGGGGGAGCCCTCGTGTGTTGCTGGATTCTGTTTCGTTGTGTATTTAATGAAGCACTAGCTGTGACTAATACCCGTGTCCTGCTCAGGTCGACAGCTACAGAATACAAAGCAATTTTATCCATAGCAAAGACATTTTGGGTTAAACCATTATAGGGCTCTTCATACAACCCCCTCACCTCAGACAGTGAGAGTTAGCCCTCCAGTTATCACCCCAAAATGTTTGCAGAGAAAACTGTCCTGTGTGTCTGCTGTTCCCACAAAACACTTTATTCTTATTTAAGCTGCCTCCAAGTACCACCCCAGGGCTTGCACCCGATGAGCAAATGCTCTACCACTGAGCTCCACCCCAGTCCTGAAATCATGCATTTTAATTGAACCAAATGCCAACCTTCTATAATCTCAGAAATGAACACAACTCCAACATGGAGGAGCCATTCATTTCATAAACACATTCTGTGTGGCGTCCTTGAAGCCAGATGCCTTGGTCATTTCCCTCGAGCAGGGTGGTCTCCCACCCACATACTAACCAGATCCAAACCTGCTTAGCATCAGTGATCAAATGACGTTGGGCACAATCAGGTTGGTATGACCATAAACTCAGGCAGACCCTAAAGTCTCTGAG